TGGTAGGTTGGAGGCCATCGCTCGTAGGTTGGAGGCCATCGCTAGTAACCATTGCTGGTAGGTTGGAGGCCAAAGCTAGTAGTTGATTCAATAAAAGCCTGAAGGACTGAAGGCTTCTGAAGGACCCTCTGGGAGGACCCCTGGGCACATCTGGGGACTTTGTCGCCAAGCCTTGCCGCTGGCTTTGCGTTCGCTTTTGCCTCTCAAAGCCAGCCGGGCCTCACGTCCAGCTCACGAGTTAATGGATTTATCGTCCAACCCACTGACTCTACTTCTGTAAATTCATGTAAATTCTACACAAGCAGTCTGAAGAACCAGTGCCAATCAATTCGGGATCTTGTCTTGCCTGCTCCAGTGCAAAAGATTCCACCAAATCCAGGCTCAGCGAATAGCACTGGCGTCAAGTTGGAATGATAAATGGTCTGCTTGAAACACTTGTGCACAACGTAGCACTACAATGCACTACATAGTTACTTGTTGTATGTGAGTCCGGCATCATGTAGCACAGATCTGTTTTCTCCAAGGCATTTTGCAGTGATCAAATCTTGTCGAGTCAGGTCTCGATGCATCACGAAAGCCTCAACGGTACGGACCTTAATTTGGGTTCGAACGATGCGGAGAAAACAGCTATGCAAAAACTGCAGTAGATTGCCCTGGGAAGAGGAGAGAATGATAGAGAATGAGAGAGCACACTTAGTGACTTAGTCTTGAAGTGAACACCGCTACGAGTATGTCGCCCAGGACTAATGGTTTGCCCCCACGGACTTTGAGGAAGCAGCAAATTCCGTGTAAATGACAATACGAAAAGGACTTTAGGCTTTTGACACCTTTTGAAGCTTTGTCATGCTTTTTGGCGATTCGATCAGAGAGATATAGAGAGATATATACTATAACTTTGCCCTCTTTAAATAGTCCAACAATCCAGCAATAATGATGAAGTTCTCAGCGGTTCCATGCAACTAACAGCGCAAACCTTAAACCGATAATCCTGATAGTCCCTTATAGTCGGGTGGCGGTCGGCAAACCATGCGTCGCCCCAAGATGTATTAGTACTACTGCACCTCAGCCTCAGAAGCAGTGAATGCAAACAATCATGTTGTTTTCATCGCTATTAGGTTGGAGGCCATCGCTATTAGGTTGGAGGACATCGCTAGTAGGTTGGAGGCCATCGCTATTAGGAGGAGGCCATCGTGAGTAGGTACGGTACTAGTAGGTTGTTTGTATTTCTTTTCTTCTTCTTCACTTCTTCCGTCACTGCCGTCGCGTCACTTTAACCTTGGTCACTGTCACCCTGTGTCACCGCCGCGCTGTGCGACCCGTCGAACAGAATGTCGGTGGATGACATCTGTTTGAATCATTCAAGCAAGCGGCCGACCAGAACCACCAGAACGTCCAGAACCAGCACCACCAGCACTCTTGGCCTTCCCTTGTTGAGTCTGTCTTATAGCCATCCGGAAGCTGAAGCAGCTTAAGGCTTCGATTTGCCCTGCCACATTCAGAATCAATTGCTGAAAAGGCCTTTTAGAATCAAATGGGCTGCCCGCCATGCTTCGCCTGGGAGGAGAAGATGTGCTGGTTCATGGTACGCATAGCCACATCCTGGAAGTGGCCAAAGTTGTCTACGAGGCAAACTCCCTGATCAATAGAAGGCATTCCAGGGAGTCCTTCTCAGAAGGGGCACCTAGGAAAGTCACTGAATCCTCTGAAAGATTTTCCTGAACTGAGAAAGTACCGAGAGATGCAAGGATCAAAGTCTCGCAAAATCGGGCACGGTATGTGCGGTGAAAGTAATGTAACAACTCACAATCAATGTCCTGCAAATCAGGAATGTCGCCCTTCTCTGAAAAGAGCTGCTTCACCACAGGCGTGGAAGGGTCTCGATACATGTGAACCTAAGGTCTGCCAACTACAGTACGAAGCCATGCATAGAGCCTGAATGCGGCCATGCTGCGGAATCCAAGGGGCAGGTCGCCATCATGCTCAATGCATTGTAGCTGCAAAGCACGAAAACGGCCTAGATTATGATGACAGAAGCAGGTGGAGATTCTACTTCCCAATCCAACGAACCTTAGACTTCTACATGGTGCCAAGTGACCAAAGGAATCAAGTAGATGGGGAGTGCCACAGCCCACCACTTGTCTGGGTAGTAGGTGATACCCCAACTGTGCAACCTGAGTCTGTTGGTCCGAACACGACTGCTTTCTCGCCAAGCTTAATTTTCCTTCTATCTGCTCCAAGCAGCACCTCTTCCGGGACAAAGACCCACAGCAGCCACACCTTAAACATAGTCTTGTTGTTGCGAGGGCGGTCACTTCTTGGAAAACTCAGTTGCGTGCGCAAACGAAAAAGTCTGCAGTGCAGACAAGAAGCACATAGCGCCAAGTGTGAAACCAAGAAGCTAGCAAAACTGTAAACCTGCCCACTCGTCATGTTTACAAACTCGGAGAGACATCTTCCAGAATGCTCGCCCAAAGTAGATCTTGCAACATTACATTTTGATTCAAGTGGATAGTTTTAACAAAACTGGCTCCACAATCTATTTTCCACTACGTACTTCCCCGCCTCAGTCCGCAAGCGATCAGAGTCCATGTGCAACAATCTACGGTTCTCTTTGGGTAGCAGTACTTGCATGTTGAAGAGCTTCGAGGTAACTTTCCAACCCTTCAGCATCCTTTTCAGACTTTAGGATACACACAATTGTGCGACGTGAGTCGTGATGATTTTCTTAAATTCAACTTTATCACCCTACGCTGAAACATGTTTGAAACTTAATGCCATGTAGTCTGGAAGCTGAGTTGCACGCAGCACACAACATGCATAAACACAGTGACAAAGCAAGCATACAATTACATACAAATACCAACTCTGAGACTGTTGATGTCTTGAGTCGAGCCCGCCTTCAGGGTCATGTCCACCTGTCATTGCTTGATGCAGCTCAAGAATGGTGGCAAGTGATCTGAACCAACCGTTTTAAGTTCGAATCGTCTTGCAAACCGACATGTACGGCAAACTTGGGATAAGGACCCAGCAGATATTGGTGCTTCAAGTTGTCAAAAATCCTAGGTACAAAGGCAACCCTCAATGTCCAACATAGCCTCGCCCGTGACAATCGTCGAGAAGTTGGGACAAAAAGTCATGGCAGACACCATAGACCTGACACAGCAAAGGTGTGTTTTTGGGTTTCGGGGCGTCTGAACGAGTAACATATCAAAATACAGTAATTCAAAACATACACTCATACACTGGATCCATACATCCCGGTCTTGTATAAATTCATGATTCATGTTGCTGTCATCTTCACGGCTTAAGCACAATTGAAGAATACCCAAAAGAAACACAACTTTCTATATGGTAAGTTCACTGGGCATAGACCCCAAACAAAGAGATCGTTGATGCTCTTTGCAGAGAGGTTTCCGAATCTTATTGCACGTTCTTTTTTCTCTGGTGCCCAACCAACTATGGTGCACCCTGCAGACCTTTCCACTTTCATACAACTACAGTACCAGGACAGAAAAGAACACGAGTGATTTGACTGCAAGACCGCAGGGCAACATCTCACTATACCACCGTGTTAGAATATCAGCACGCCGCCGTGCCAGCACCAACATATGTGTCAGCGTCAAAATAACATAAAATTACTTGTATAAATTGTACGCATTTTGAACATCTGAGCCCCCTATCGTCTTCCGTGCCTGTGCTTTCCCGAGGTGCATGTGGGCTTCCCTATCGTTCTTCATGTCGTGGCTCACTACCAGAACAAATCTCAGAGAACACATACAAACAGTCACACACGCACACCATGACATGGCTCCAGCTAGTGTGTGTGGTTGTTTGATGCCAGAAACCTGGTTTTCCCTGGCTACATTCCAAGTAGAGTGGTGGTTGGAGCCTGGCCACCATCCCTTCCATCCTAGACTGCTTGCCCAACACAAATACCTTGAGTACAGGTTGCACCGACCAAGGGAGACCTCCATTTCTCCAATACCCCTTCTCCACCCAACCACATTCCTTTTCTACCCGGAGGAATCTGAAGTGTCGGAGGCTGAGGTTGCAAACAAAGAGTCTGAACTGGCAACAGAAGCTTACTTCAACTCTTTCCGTGCTTTTGAGCGTTCCCTTTGTTTTTCGCTCCTTCTCATTCTTGTGTCAATGAGACATTGGTGATCTGGTTGGCCTGTGAACTGCTGGTCTGTTCCACCAGGTAGCAAGTTGCTCTGGGCGGATTGTCTCCTGGTGAGCGCGCTTTCATCGCTGTACCCTCGTCTGTATTCAGGTGCTGTGTCTTTGCTTGATGCAATCATGTTTTCCGCGGGGAAGCTTTGCTTGACCCGGAACAGCCGCCTGAGCTCTTCCAACCAACTTCTGTCGCTGAGACTCATCTGCCAACATCTCCTTCACAAGTAGTCTTAGAGCAGCAATCACGGCAGCAGATGTTTTTCATGGCTGCGAAGGGAGCTCTCGCAAAGGCCACGTGGGCGATGTCTCAGCAAGGATATCTGTTGGGACTTCTTGGGTATCGTTTTGGTATCGTTCGGGTATCGTTTTATTGCCGCACTTTCTGGCTGAAAATGGCATTCTTGTCGGAAGTCTTGTGTTGAGCAGCCTAACATCATCAGCTAAGTTCACGCTCAAGCTCAAAGCCACTTCAACTCGCACAGTGCGTGGCGATGAAGCAGCAGCCAATTTGTTCTAGTTCCGCGTGGCCAATCAGGCAATAAGCGCGCGGACGTAAGAATCGCTCTGTAGATTAAAATGAGTTGAAGGGTTGTGGCCACCGGCTGCGACTTATAATGTGCTCCAGTGCACCACATATGCAGGTACGTTTACCTGATCATCCAGAGTGAGCTTCGTTGGCAGAGACCACATCTGGAGATGTATTGTAAGTGAAAATCTTGCCTCATTCTTCTAAGGCATTGGCCCTGCAAGACCAATCATGCAATGAAACATGAGATGCCTAGGAAGTGGCATTGCAAGAGGTTTCGTTTTTTTATGAGTCCCCTATCGTTTTTCAAAGAAACTTCACATTCCCTTAGCCACATGAAACGCTCTTTACAAAAGTTGTCTTCGATAATTTTGAGGTTGACTCATATGGCCTTATCAATGCACCACGCCAACGTGCCATAATACCAATAAAGTATGATGGGGGACAACCTGGAGACAAAAAGGTCCTAGACAGCCAAGCCGCGGCTACACCGGTCCCACCAGACATGATGGAAGAAAAGCTGAGGGACCAGTTTCGAAACATCGAGTTTGAGACAAATGGTCATTTTCCACCACAGAATCCAAAAGAATTAGGAACCCCTATAGCGCCCAGCTATCTGGGGAATATCAGCCTGCCTGCCTGTTCCAATGCATTGATGCAATGACCATGATGGCCATGTGAGCACACTTGAGCACACCTCTTTACATGCTGTTGCATACTCCCCTCAACAGCCTAGCACAGGACGTGTCAACCTTGCTCTTAAAGGATTTGGCATGGAATCTGAGCAGCACCAAGTCACTAAGTACATGCCTCCACTGCATGTTCTGCGTCGATCCGGCACAAACTCCGCTCGGCTTTTTATCCGCTAATGGGTTCGCCAGGATTGCTATGCCTAGAGACTAACCGGAGGCCTGGCACAGCCTCTGAGTCCCTTCAATTGCTCGTCATTGCAATGAAGGAGTAGGAGCTGCGTACGACTGAAACAGTCTTTCTATAATTTTCTATCTAGGGGTGTTGAGTGTGGATTGCATGGCTGCAAACTGTGTAATGTGTTCAAAACAGTGAAAGACAAAGTCCTCAGAAGAGCGGTTTGATCTCCGTGTTGAACTTGCCTCAACATCCATGCCCATGATTGAAAGCAGGCGGGTGTGATGAACACTACATCTGCCCCCTTCAGTGCTTTAAGAAAGCCTGCTTGCTACAATTGGTGAGGTCAATGCCAGCTAGCCAAGAGACTCTCCTCATAGGATGTCATTGAGATCTGCCTGGCAACAGTCTATGTTAAATCAGTTAAATCTGATGGGTCTAGGCATGTCGAGCGACCCGCCTGCCATCGTACTTCCGATGGCCCATGGCTCTCATGACCTTCGTGGCTTCGTCTGTTGTGGCACACTGCAGGTAGACATCACCTTGGGTTTCGACATCACCTACTCGCGTCGCCAAGAATTTACTTCGCGAATCTTTGCGAACAAAGATCGAATCAATGAAAGCGCTGCTTTTCTTCAACAAGCGGCCTGGCTTCAAGGTCGCGTTGCCCTTTGCATGCTCAGGCTTCACAATAGCTACCTCATTAGAGTACAATCAACATACCCAAGGCACTGCGAATTGTGGATCAATCAAAGCTTGAGACAAATCATGACAAGTCAAATAACCACCTTTGTTTGGAAAGCGGGCGCTTCCACAATACTTGCTATTAGGACTGAAGCTTGCAACTGTCAGAAATCTACATGTGTTTATTCAACCAGTCATGCGAGTGATTCAGTGATCATTTGTCTTGCCATGCCGTGCATGTAAACAACGCCTCAAATAACCACCGTGTGCCAAGGGACCATAACAAGCTTGCCATGGGCTCCACAACCTTCCTGCATGTCTTCCTTTACATCGTTGAAATCATCCTCGTCAGAAGAACACAAAGGCCTATTTTGCTCCACAGTCTTTCAATTCATGGAAACTCGTCGACTTGCACGTTATCAGGCATGTGACATGTGAATGTTGAACCAGTATGTGTAATGTGTTCAAACAGTCTAGATGTGTTTTGTTAAGTATCACAACATATCACAACCATGCTGCAGTACGCTGCAGCACTCCACAGTCCTCCGTGGTCTTCTCATCTACCTTCAAGATTTCGTCAATTCTGATGATCGGGCTGGTGGCACTCACCTGCCCGGATCATCTCTGTGCGTGCATTGTTGGAGAAGTATGAAAGGGACTTGTGAAAGGCACTTGTGAAAGGCTTTTAGAAGAACAGAAAGCACCGGACTATAAACGTATGTGCTTATAAAAATATATTATATGAGCCAGTGTCTAAATGATTGGCTTGGGCTGTATTCATAAGTAAATTAGGGCGTCCCCTATCGTTTTGACTTTGGGGTGGGTATCGTTTTTAGGGCGTCCCCCATCGTTTTTAGGGTGGGGCTATAAAAACCCAATACTGACGAAACGTTCCATATAAAATGCCTTTACGATAGATTAGACTACAACTCATATCTTTAACTTTCGAGCGCTCAATAAAAGAATGCGTAGAACGGACACGTTACTGTCAGGACTTGAAGAATCTTCTCATACAATATCGAGTTGCCTGTGCGGATGGCAGCGCCAGCATGCCACCCTGGCCTCAGATCCGAGTTCAGTCGAAGTTGTCAATCTTTCATACTTCAAAGATCTTCAAAAATTTCAGAGCGTGGCCTGGCATCTGCATACCCACAGGCACACCACCAATCATGCCAAGAGGACTCACCTCGAGAACGCAGGAAGTAACTTTGACTTTGAGGACGGGTTTAAAATAAGCACAGCCACTTTGAATATCTCTGAGTACTCCAAGTTGCTGCGTCATTGGGCCGCTTGATGGAAACTGGAACACCTGCATGTAAATCATGTATTAAAAGCAAGCAAATTGAACGGGAGTCTGCTGCTCGAGAACCGTAAAACATCTATAAATGCATCCCACTTTGGTACAGCTTGGCATCCAAAGCCCACATTCCTCCTGTGGTCCCAGGCTGGCTTGACGGGAATTAAGGAATATTAGTAAGGACTCTCAATGGCCGAAAGGACTGAATTTGGGACGGAGAAAAGGGCTGCTGTTTGACTCCTTTGCTTCTCCGGTCACTCGCTTTTCAACCACTAGACCCCTACTAGGCCCCAATCATCCTAGTCTTTCCTAGATATCTAGGTCTACCTAGAAATCCTCTCCCATTCTGTGCCTAGGACCAGCATGCCATCCAGCTGCAAGGCGCGCTCGGTCTCCTCCGGTCGCACGTTGTGCCATGAGCAAGTTTCCAATCAATAACCAAAGCAATGAACAAAATGATGAATGATGCAATCACATTGAGTGAATAGTTTGCAAGTTTACAAGCTTTGTGTACACATTGAGGTCTGTCCAGGTGCAGTCTACACTGAGGTGTGAAATCTCCTCTTGCGAGGCAATCTCGCAAAAGCCATAGTTGGCACCTTT